CACCCGGGTTACAGTAGCTCGCAAAGCTGAGACGTCAGAGAGGCGACTGCGTGGCCACAGAAATCATGGGTTGGCGCTTTCACCTACCAGTGAGACAGGTGTCAGGACACATGCTCCTATTTCTGACGTTCCTCTTCCACGTTCCTTGGATTGGCAACGGAGCGGCGTAACTTGCGCCGAGATGTTGGTGGACAACAAGATTGATCTGCTGGGATGCTGAAACAAATTTGACCGCGGGGGATGGCGCGCGCAAATGTTGCTCGCGGCGCCAGGGAACGCTGGGCCCTTAGATTATTTCAGATGGTTTTTTTCTGCAGCGCTGGCCCCGGTTCAAAGGTCAGAGCGGGCTGTGGCCGCAGATGTTTCCGTGGAAGCTGAAAGTGCTCAAATCGCTATGGTTGTGTGCTGCCACAAAGCGCGGCCTCAAAATGGGTTCATATAGTTTAGACGGTTCTAGCATAGGTTGTATGGGTTATACATGGCTGTACCATATTCTAATCAAGACGGGTGATGTGATTCAATGTTTGCAGCCCAACGTGCGGATGCGTTTGGATGTCCACTGCAAAAAACCTTTTAGGCTGGACAGCTTGACATGCGCTTGACGGGCGCTATAGACTTGCGGACGTGATCATTTTTTCAATTTGCGTCAGTCATTTTGTGAGGCCTCAGGCGACGGCAAGTTTGTCCATCGTGGGGGAATCTACAAGGAGAGAAAGACAACGGGGGACTGGGGCGCGATGGACTCGCCCATGCAGCATGCAGTCAGATCTGAGAACAGTAGAACAAGGCTTCACAGTGACCCCTCGTGCACATTCGTAGGCTGCTGTGATATAGATAGACATTGCCAAACTAGTTTCTCAAATACGCTTTCTCAAACATGGACAGCGGGCTCTTCATGGACCTATAGTGTGCCCATTTACACCATAGTACTTCGATCGATTCTCATACACAATGCACATATGGTTCGTGTTCCGTACTCTCACTTGCGTTTCGTTTAAACTAAATTCAACCACAGGAGGAGCTTTCAGATGTTCAGGAACGAGCAGATGAACCTGTTGAGTGCCCAGTACATGACATTGCGGTGGCTCGACTGGTGAGAGCTACCATGTGTCGGGCAATGATATGACTTTGATACACCAAGTCTTACACCAAGTCTCTTACGGCTTCTGATCCCCATGGTCGCCGCCAATTGTAGTGCGGTTGCAGTTGATTTTCGGAGGTCTTCACTTGATCTGGCCTAGTTCTCTTGTAACTTTGGCCCGGTTCCCCGGGGTGTACGCCAAGTAGGCGCTGGAATTCCATAACCTCGGAGCGTAGCCCTACTCCCCAATTCTTATTGGCTGAGTGTTCTAAACCAGGGCTGTCTTTCAATGGCGCACTATGGGCGCTTTTCTCGGTACCGGTGCATAGAGTCTTTCCCAATTCTTGAGGAGGGGAACTGGAGAGAGAGAGAGAGAGTGCGATGGATCGTCTGCGGCAGCTTGTAAGAAAAATGGGTGGGGCTATCACTCCTGTTGGCGCAGAGGTCAAAAATCAACCACGGATGTTACAAAATATTGCAATTACAAACCGCAGGAAAAATGATCATTGAATAAAACTATTCTAAGCCGGTGTGGCAGTACCATATACCAACCTCTGACCTACTTCTGTGAGCGGTTCAAACTTGCCACAAAAATAGTTGATTTTCCATCTGCCGGTGAACTTTTATAACCCAAGAATTCGTAGCCCCGCACCCATCAAAGCCATGGTTTCCATGATTTTCCCACAAGTTCCTGCCAAGGGTTTTTTCCAAACAATCACTTCCAACCAGCATCTAGAGTATCCTCATTATCACCTTCATCACCATCATGATCGCCAATACAATTTGTTTTGTCATTCGCTCAGTTTTCGTACTTTGTCAGTCATGATTCAGCGTTCCTCATTCATCACTGGTGGGGAAGTTGCATCGTCAAGCCCTTTTGTGTTATGTTTTCGTTTCTTCCCTCTTGCTTCCTTCCGGCCATGTACTGGATGGGAAAATAGGTCAACCTGCCAGGGACTAGCAGTTCGTGCGGAGGACGTCTGCAAGCAGGGCTTTTTGGTGTGGAACTTGGCGCATTTTGGTCGAGCTTAGTAGTCAGTGGAACTCCTTGTTCTCGATGCAGAGACTTCGGCCATCACTTTTGATTGGCTGGTCATCGATGATGACAGCCAAATCGGGCGTTGGTCACCTGAAGGAGGCTCGGAATGGGCATGGTAGGAACTCTTAAAAACAAATCGAAATAGAACTTCAAAGAGTACGTGCATCTTTTTTTCGGTTTGAAATCTATAAGACCCTCGCATGCCAAGGCTTCGAAGCGCTCCCGCCTGTCCCGGTGGAAGCGCTCCGAGCTCCGCGCCTTGCCGCAACGCCGTCCTGGCTGAGGAGGTGCCTTGTTGTTGTGGTTGCGGTTGGTTGAACAGCTTGTTCTCATCAAGAAGTCTTCAAGAAGTCTTCAAGTGTCCTGTCCGTGTTCAGGTTTTAGCCGATTTGGACGCCACCATGGACACATGGAGCGCCTCTGGCATGTTTTCTGCCTTTGAACTCTGCCTTTGAACCATCAAGTAAGGCGCCGTTTGATTCCTCGCCGTGGTTAGTGATTTCATCTCGATTCCATAAATGGGCTCGTTTCATTAAAGAAGCGCCCCTAATGTCACGTCGTGCCACGTTCTACCCTGAAATATCATATATGCGTACATGTGAGCATGTGTGTATGATGTGATGTGCATGTATTTGTGTTCATGCGAGGTTGTCCATGCTTCTTGTAGCGTTGGAGGGTTCTGGTATTTTCTGGCAGGTATGGATACAGCAATTTCTTCGTGGTTTTTCAAGCCAAAGATGTGCTGCTCCCAAATCGTCTACTCTTCTGGTCGCTGTGCTTCTTTGCAGGCCATGGCCACACTCCCCCATCTGCGCGTCGTACGCCCTTCTGTTTTGGATGCTGGCAGCTCAGACAATGTCTTTTGTGTCCCAAAAACTTCGTTTTGCGGTTGTCGTTTTTTTAGGCTCTATATTGAGCGCTCTGGTGCAGACATGGCAGCCTTAGTCAGTGAAGGCCCATGGGTGGGTTCATAGCCTTTCCTGGAGCAAGATTTGGATGGACAAATCTGCTGATGATTAAAGATAATGTGGGCCATGATGGTGATGACGATGATGAGGGTGAGGATGAGGATAGTGGATTAAGGATGGTGATTGATGATGGCGCCAATGAATCATCATCATCACCGCCAGCATCATCGCCAACATCATCAGCGTCATTGTCATCGTCGTCATCATCGTCATCGTCGTCGTGTCCATCATCGTCATCGTCGTGATCACCGTCATCAGCATCCTCGCCATCATCAGCGCCCTCACCATCATCATCATCATCATCATCACCATGGCCACGCCGCCCCTACTCATCGTCCATTGACTCTTCATCCATCAACGCCCATCCTCCAGCAATCGTCCATCGTCGTCAGCCACAGCCAGCGCCGCTGTCGTCGCGCGCCACGCGTTGAAGGTTGAAAGCGGGCAGTGTGTGTGTGTGGCCAGCTGCAACGCGAGATGGGTTGGGGCGCCCACTTTGGTGACATACTCCATGAAGCACTCCAAGTGAAGAGATCGCCTGTGTTCAGGATGGGATATGAGTCCAGCGCGGCCCCAAGCCTGATTTCCTTTTTGATTTTAGCTTGCAGCTTGCGTTTGCCAAGGTCTTCCTCCAGTGATTGCTCAGGGCCGTGAGTTACGGGGGCGAGGCGGAAGCCGAGGCGGCGTGGCCCGTCATAACCAGCATCACCGTTGTCATGGCTCCGGTGGCTAACGTACACGGCAGTTCTCCAAACGGGCGAGAAACAGAAAGTCTTTGCCTGTGATTGTGTGGCGACATTCAGGGTGGAAGTCGCAGGATCAAAATATCATTTGTATGTACAATGACATACTGCGGCCAAGTCGCTGCAATTCAAGTAGAATGCCCTCTGCAGAAGACTTCACATGTTTTTGTGATTGTCGCTGGTTTGCATGGTTTTCCAAATAGTGTGAGAGGTGCTGCGTTGCTTTTCGCATGCCCAGAGTTTTCGATATGCCATCGCGCGCAATTCACCTCTCCAGGTAAACCACTAAGGCCTGTCACGGCCCCCGAGACGGCATCTTTCGTGCCACAATTTTGGCAACGGAGTATGCAAAGAACTGCAACTGTGGAAAATGTTGAGCGCCAAGTTTGAAGGTGAAACAAGCTGAAGTGCGCGCGTAGCAAACACGACATATACAAATACATCTATGTAAACGTATGTAAATATATATATACAAATACGCGCATATGTGTATACACCTACAGTATGTATATTTTCATGTCTATCATAAACGGAATGTAACTGTGAAGACTGCGGCTACGTGCGCCAACAGACTACGCATACAACCACTTCACGCAAGGGTTGGAGCCATGGTGGCAAAGAGTTTCACCAAAAAAGGTGCACTTGTTTGAAAATGGGCTGTGGACTTTGACAGGATCGGAGTGCGGCGATGAATTCCAGCAAAGCATCCTAAGACCAACCCCGCTGGTCAGAAATGTCATCATTGTGATTTCGATCGGAATATACAGGTGAGATTTCCTTGATGAACATGGAAAGCAGCCTTGCAGCAGACTCAGCAAATATGTTTTGCAAGCTGCCCCCGTCTGAAGCTGGTCACTGTGCAGAGAATCCGCTTTGTTTTTTGTTGCGCACCTGCAGCTGATTTAAGAACATTTCAAGAAAGCGGGAAAGGAGTGAGCCCACAAGGCCGGTTGCGTGACGACGTTTCACATTGTGTTGCCATGTGTGGCATGTGTGCCAAGCGCTCGCCCGCAGAGGCAAAGATGACTTCCAGGCTTTTCAGGTTGTGCGCTTCTTAGCTAGCGCGGTGTGTTTGCCGCGCCTTTTGCTGGCTAGATTTTTGCACGGCTGCGTGCTCAGCCTCCAAACTGAGGACAGATGAAGAACGTTCCGTGGTCCATTCTGGCAGCATGCTGCTTGAGCAACCTGGCCACAAGTGGGTTTCAGCAAAGGGTTTGCCAGCCGCAAGAACAGTTTTTTCACACCCGTTGGTCACTGCCAGCTTTGCTTGCAATGTGGTAGTCACATGTGAGACGCAGGAGGAATGTTTTCAGCGTGCGTGGTGCAACATTGTGATCGTGGTTATGGTTGTATACACTTTTTTGGCGTGGGCAATCAGTGATTGTAATCGTTTCTTAATGGTTAAAACACGGGTCAAAGGCTGGCCGCCGAAGTTTCCGAATTTCTACCGGCAACTTGGCTGCAGTCCGGGCAGTCCATTTCAGGTGTTCCTTTTTTGTTTTCATTGCAGGCTGCCAGGCAAGTCTACCAGATCAAGACCTTTCAGCCTACCGCGCAGTGGCAAAGAAGTATGCTCAGCTTGTGCCAAAAGAGAAGCGGCTTGGACTTGTGCATTCAACAGGGGCAGAGTCCATAACAGCGCTGCTTGGCAGGCTTTGCGAAGCAAGGGGACGGGCCTGCTTCGCGCAGCGCAAGAAACGTGAAAAGAAACAACGCAAAACTCTGCCTCCTGGGACGTCAGTGCATTACTCGAGTTTCATCGGCCCATACTTCTACAAGAGCGCGGGCAGTATCTTTTATTGTTGGTGGGAATCTTGCGGCTTTATTTTTTCCTTTGAGCAAGATCTTTGTCATGACTGCTGGACCCCATATTAGGCCGGGGCCTCACCGCGCAAATTGAAATTGTTGTTGTTGTTGTTGTTGTTGCTGCTGCGGCTGTTGTTGCGGGTGTCGGAGCCGAGGGCGGCTGTGGAGGGTGAGGCCAGCGGAGGTCCGGAAACCGTTGCCAGGGCTGGGTGACGTCGGGCGGTGCTTCAACCTTTTGGATTTCAATTATTGAACAGGGATCTAATTCGGGAGCTTTTGGTTACGGTATACAGTATACATCTTATCGCGCGGGCAGGCCCTTACGATTAACATCTACGCGTCACACATTGGTCCCTTCACGGTCCCCTTGAACCCAGCCCATCTCGCTTGAGGTCATAAAGTGGGGGCTCCTTTGTTGAAACCCTTGCTGAGAAGAACGCAGCCTGCACTTCCTTGGCGCCGTAGGAGAGGTGATGAAGCAAGGCTTGGGTCGGGATTCCAGGCTTCTTCCCGCAACCTCACAGCAAAGATTGAAGCGGAGGGGAGACCACTTCGTCCATGCGACTTGACAACTTCTCAAAAAATTACACCGGCAAGGGACCCCAATAGTGTAAAGAACATCTTCCAAAACGGCAAGTTCATTGAAATACAAAACCCTTCAAGAACATCTGCGCATCGAGATTCACGAGCACAAATGGGAGCACACATATGAGAGCATATGGGAGCACATATGAGAGCACATGAGAGCACACATCGGAGAGCGCAAAGGTGAGAGCACATACAAGCACAAATCTGAGAGCGCATAGGCAAGTACATAAGAGCATTTCGCAGTTGACAATGTACCGCGCCTGCCACGAAATCTGCGCATCGAGGTTCACAAAGTACTGCGCCTGCCACTAAATCTGCACATTGAGATTCACAAAGTGCCTGGTACGAAATCTGCGCATCGAGATTCGCAAAGTGCTGCACCGGCCACGAAATCTGCGCTTCCAGACTCAGCAAGTGTTGCGCTTGCCACGAAACCTGCACATCGAGATTCACAAAGTGCTGCGCCGGCCACGCAATCTGCACATCTAGATTCACAAAGTGCTGCGCCTGCCACAAAATCTGCGCATCGAGATTCACAAAGTGCTGCGCCTGCCACGCAATCTGCGCATCGAGATTCACAAAGGGCTGCGCCTGCCACGAAATCGGCGCATCTAGATTCACAAAGCGCTGCGCCTGCCACGAAATCTGCGCATCGAGATTCACAAAGTGCTGCGCCTGCCATGCAATCTGCCCATCGAGATTCACAAAGCGCTGCGCCCGCCACGAAATCTGCGCATCGAGATTCACAAAGTGCTGCGCCTGCCCGGAAATCTGCCCATCGAGATTCACAAAGTGCTGCGCCTGCCACGAAATCTGCGCATCGAGATTCACAAAGTGCTGCGCCTGCCCGGAAATCTGCGCATCGAGATTCACAAAGTGCTGCGCCTGCCACGCAATCTGCGCATCGAGATTCACAAAGTGCTGCGCCTGCCACGAACTCTGCACATCGAGATTCACAAAGTGCTGCGCCTGCCACGAAATCTGCGCATCGGGATTCACAAAGTGCTGCGCCTGGCGCGAAATCTGCACATCGAGATTCACAAAGTGCTGCGCTTGCCACGAAATCTGCACATCGAGATTCACAAAGTGCTGCGCCTGGCACGAACTCTGCACATCGGAGATCCAAAATGAGCAAATTGCACGAGGCTTTTGCAGATTTTGAAATGCGTTTCAGAAATGCTGTGTGCCTGCCACGAAATCATGCCTGCAGGTCATACGAAATGCTGCACTGGCCACGCAAAATCATCCTCAAGGTCAAAGTTCAAAAATGCGACCCTTCTCACGAATTCAGCCGTTTCACCTCAAAATATCGCATCCATGGTGCGGATCCCCTGCGCCTGCCACGTGAAACGCAGTCCTGCGAATGACACACGCCTGCCAACGTTTTTGCAACGTCCACAAAACACTGCGGCTGCCACGAAATTTGCAAAGTCTCCGATTCCTTGCACCTGCCACGTAAAATGACATTTTCGAGGCTCCAATGTGTCGAATTCCTTGCGCCTGCCACGCGAAATTCACTTCAGGCCCGAAAACGAGCACGGCACCTGCGCGAGAGCTTTGTCCCGGAAGCGCGAACCGCGACCCCCACTTTATGCGAGCCTGCGCAGTCGAAATGGACATGAGGAATTCAAAAAGTAACTTTTGTGCGAGCCGGCCCACGCAACATGCCGGGGCCACACGCGCGAACCCTGATCTAAACCCGCTTAACTCTTACCGTAAGAACCCCTTAGTGCGGAGCACTATTCGGGGAAACTTCTCAAAAGGAGAATTTCCCACAGTAGATTGCTTTCAAATGCTGGCACCAAGGCTAGGTGCTTGGGCCGATTTGAGGAACGACGGGAAAACGCCCTGTCAGCGACCAAGACTAGCATAGGCGAAAAAACTGTCAATCTGGAAAAGTCGACTTTGCACAGTGGGATGCAAGCTCGTCTTGCCTCAGTGCAATCTCACATTGGATTTCGCAATCATGCCTCTGCCTGGGAGGTGCAACTGGGAGGGCACTATTGAGGAGCATGCGTGCTGATGCAGGGTGACGCTGAAGGACATAGCGCAATGGAGTGTTGCTGCAATTCTGGTGAACGCGCATGTGCTCACGCCAGGTGCCTTGAGGTGCCTGGTAGTGCATTTTCGGATTGACAAGTAACGAGTAGTAGGTGTTTGGCAGATCTTGCTGTTGATGGGTTGCAGACCATCCCCGCAAGATCTGGTTTTGTGGATATAGCAAGGCCACATGACAAAACTCAATGTCACTTTATGATGTTGCTTAGACCGGCGTTCTGAACAGACTATATATATATATGATAGAGGGTCCTTTAGGTATTATGTCGTTACTGTGTCAGCAGGATCGCTATTTAAAAAGCAATTGTATTCCAATTCTGTTCATTTAATTAATTAATTAGAAAAGAAAAGGAAACCCATTTAAAATATTTAAATATGTATTTATTTAGTTATTTAATTGGAAAAGAAAAGGAAATCCAATCAAATAACTAAATAACTAAATATCTTTTTATTTTTTTAATTGAAAAAGAAAAGGAAATCCAATTAAATAGTTAAATAAGTAAATATTTATTTATTTAATTATTCAATTGTTTTAATTGTTTTAGTTATTTAAATACCGGTAAGTCTTCTATTCCCTTTCTTTTTGTTTTCCTTGGCATTTAATGTTTTAATTCTTTTAAATCCAATTAAATACTTAATTAATTAAATATGTATTTATTTAATTTTTTGATTAGAAAAGAACAGGAAATCCAATTGACTATTTACATAATTGAATATTTGTTTATTTAATTATCTAATTGAAAAAGAAAAGGAAATTCAATTAAGTAATTAAGTAATTAAATATCTATCTATTTAATTACTTAATTGGTTTAATTGTTTTACTTATTTAAATACCGGTAAGTCTTCTATTCCCTTTCTTTTTTTCCTTGGTATTCAATTTTTTAATTGTTTTAAATCCAATTAAATAACTAAATAACTATATATTTATTTATTTGTTATTTAATTGGACAAGAAAAGGAAATCCAATTAAATAACTAAATAATTAAATATTTAATTATTTAATTGTTTAATTTTGATTGTTTTAGTTATTTAAATACCGGTAAGTCTTCTATTCCCTTTCTTTTTGTTTTCCTTGGTACTTCATTTTTTAATTCTTTTAAATCCAATTAAATAATTAAACAAGTAAATATTTGCTTATTTATTTAACTATTTAATTGGAAAAGAAAAGGAAATCCAATTAAATAATTAAACAAGCAAAAATTTATTGACTTAAATATTTAATTTGAAAAGAAAAGGAAATCCAATTAAATAGTTAAATATGAGAAGTCCATGTACTAAAAGAAGCAGACCTCCCAAAGACTACCCGGGAAAAAAAAGAAAATATTCAATTCTACACACCCACATAGTCAATATAGATACGCAACTTTCGTGTGAAGCAATCATGGCGATCTGTTCATGTTTTCTTTTGATCCAATGTTCTGTCTCAGTGTCAGCTTTGCTCCCTCCAAGAATCATGGTTGTGGGAACATTATCTTCACTCCACCTAACTATAAATCTTCGGTACGGAGTGTCGCTGCGCATGTCATAACCATCCTCCAGCTCAGCGCGCAAAGTCTCCCAAAATGATGCCCCCAAATGAACCATGGTCAAGACTGGAGATTCTCAACCATTACAAGGGGATGGTCATCCATTGAATCATAGGGATTTATAATATATGCCAAGATGGGACAACCATACCAACCAAACACCGGTCGTGCACGGACCATGCAGGCGTCGTTTGGCACGGGTTTGGTCACATGTTTTAGTCAAAAATCAATCGTTTTTGGAGACCCTCTACGACTCTACATTGATCCTTCGGGTCAGAACTGGACAGGGTTCAGGCGCATCAACCGAACTCGGACGCATGTACCGGCCTTTGAAGTTCACAGCGACGAACTCGCAATTCAGAGACCGAGGATAGTGGAGGGGGGAAAGATGGACTGGGAGTTCATATGAGCCATAGCCATCGAGAGAAACCCTTTTGACACACCATGGCCATTCGAAAGATTCTGGCTCAGTGGCACTGTGTGACTCAGCCTGGATCCACCATGGCACGAAGGACTGCTCCGCGGTACATTCGAAAACGTCGCTCGCTTCTGTTCGGCTTCTCGTTGCTGCTTGCTTGTGTCCGGCCCCTGCCGTTGATGCTTGCTTGTGTCCGGCTTCTGCCGTTGATGCTTGCT